TGGAAGGGAAATGATACAATCCCCCACAACCCACCCCACCGTTTGTCTCTTTTCTCGCAGTGGCACCGAAATTTCTTTAATCAACGTACATGCATACTTATGAATGAGCTTGGGCAGTGACAGATTGGAGAGCAGGCTGAGGATAATTACATGCAGTGGGCTGGTGTGTGATCAGAGTGTGCCACTGCATTACCTAAAGGGTTCTGTAAATAAAGCCCTCATGCAATGAATGAGGATATTGTACAGCACATTACACTGGCTACAAATGCCCTGCCATTGTTATAATACTGGTTTTGGCTGCAGATAGCTCTCGGTGTTATGTGACAAGAACTGCAACAGTACAATAAATCTGGGCTTATATGGTAAATTAGGTCATTCAGAAAGAAATCCAACATAAAAAAGCAATTTATATGTGATAACTAATTAGATGTTTTGAATAACAAGATTTTGATGCAGTGGAGAAATCTGTATTACTATAAATACCTTTAAACTAGTCTAGTTTAATCTCCAAAAGGAGTATTTTTTTAGTATTAGCTTTTACTTTAGGGCTGAAACAATTAATTGGATTAATTGTGATTAATAGATTATTGAAATAATCATTGACTAATTTAGTAATCGATTAATAGTTAAATGGAGCATAGAGACTCTAAAAAGTGTCTTTAGCTGACAGAGCGACCCACTTAGAGCAGTAATTATATCAAAATTGCAAAAATAATACATAAAAAGTTTCCATTTAAGATGAAAAAACATTTTTGTCTTTACACTTGTTGTCAGTAAACTTCATCAAGTGGAGAAGCTTTAGTTTCACCTGGTTTAATTTAGTAAAAAAAATCTTTAAGGAATCTTTGGCTATCTGATTATTCATTGATTAATCAAATAAATAATTGACAGATTAATCAATTTGCAAAATAATCGTTAGTTCCAGCATACAAAGCAGTATAGGTTAAAAAGATTTTTAAAATGCATTGCTCTGATAGGTATTTTTTCTGCAAATAAATTGAAATAAATCTTATTCAAATCAAAATGGTTTGCTTCCCTTAATTACTGACAAACACCACAACTTTGAAGCTGAAGAAAGGATTTCCTCATTATTTCAAGCTGTGCTGGAGTTTTTCACCCCATCAGATCTGTGTCTCTTTCCATGCACCTTGAAAGTAGATGATGTTATCCCATAGACTCTCGGATCTCTGAGGTTTGCCATACTCTTTACATTTTGACTTGATTCTGTTAAACTGTTCGACATGTAATGTTGAGAACCTGGGATATTGTTTCACTCTGCTTTGAGGTTCTCCATAACTCTTTCCCTGACCCTTCGGCTGTGCTTTTCAGTCTTCATAATTCTGCGTTCCCTAATGTTCACTAACAAACTCTTTTTAGAAGTATCAGAGGAGAGAAAGTCAAATATATTTCTGTGCCACAGTTTAAAAAAACAAGTGCCTATTTCCTTTTACCTTGCATTTATGTACTTCTTTTAAGTTAGTTTTTCAAACAAAATTCCAATAAACCACAGTGGGGTTTATATTTATGAAGTAACAAAATGTGAAAAGGTTTAGGGGTTGTAAATACTTGCATAAGGATTTTTTTTCTGTGTACTCAGGAGTATGTCTACAGTATGTAGAGCTGTCCTGCTTAGGAAGTCTTATCAAAATTCACAGATCATCCTCTGGGATTTGCTTTGAGTTCCTCAGATTCTAACAAACACTTCCACTATTTTAAAATGTGCTTTTTATTCTGTGAGATCGGAGTAAGAGATTACTTGGTATTACGCTCTCAGTGCCAGAAGTGGAAATTACAGCGACAATCAGAACGCCAGAGTTCTTTCTGCTTGTTTTCTCCCAGAGAGGGAGGTAATGCTTTACTCAACACATTTCATCCCGATGGCTTGTGACTGCTCCCTGGCAACGCGATCCGTGGTGAGTCACAGCCAAAAGTATGTGCGGTTGGACCAAAGCAATAAGGATGACAGAAGGGAGAAGACTGCTCCGGACTTCAGCTCAGGAACACATTCATCTTCTCCCAGTAAAAGTCCTTTTGGCAGGTTTATACTGCATTAGTCCACTCAAGCTCAGCGAAGAGGGCTGCATCCATCATGTTAAATGCAAAGGAGGATGTGATTCTGATTTCTTGTGAATAAAGAACCCTCCCTGTTAGCATAAATAACCCCATTAATCCAAAAAGGTAAGCCACTATGGATCAACATTTTAACTGCTCTGTAGATTTGTGCGCACAGTGGATTTAAAAAGCCTGCACATTAGTATTGAAATGCATGGATTTTGTGAGACAAATATACCTTGCAAAACTTATAGACAAAAAACAAACAAACAATGAACACAAAAGTAATGTCGTTGCATATTATTATGTATATATTACTGGCTTGGTTTGGGATAAAGAAACACATTCCAGCTCACATTAAACAAGCAGCACACACTACTCATGGCTCTTTCCTTTTTCTTTGTTGAATCCCCAGGAAAAAAATTCTGATTCCAGTCAACAATCTGTGGTGTTTATAATTTAGAGGTGAGTTGCAGAAGTTAAATATGTATGAAAATGTTTTGGAATCAGTTCTGCTTTTTGTGTGCAAAAGGAAAAAGAGCTCAAGCAGGGGTCAGTACGTCCACCGTTGCTTGACATTAAAATAACTGCCTGGCAGAGAATCGTTTCCTCTTAAAAAAGAAACTTCCTAAGTTGATTTTTTAACAGTTTTATGGTGTGTTTCAGACTGAATGCAACCAACAAATGAAAAGTTCAAGTGGGTCGTTTGGCGTAAACAGCTGAAAAGGCTCTGAGCTGTTCTGTATTAAAAGAAGGGATGATAGCTGCGCTTATTTGAGAGCTCATAACTATTGCCCTCCTCCAACCCTGGCACATCACTTTATTTGCCTTGGCTGAGAGAGAAAAAATTAAAAACTGAGTAGGACAGTTGTCAAAACAAATTGGGACTGGTTCAGTATCTCTACTTTGCTCAACTGTAACCACTGCCTCCATCATTTACCAACTTTCATTTTACAAAGATGAGGTTCTGTGGATGAGTAACAGTTATTTAGAGTTACATTCAAGCCCCATTAGGTGAACGTGATGAAGTCTAAACAGCTAGGACAAATATGTTTCCACTGAAATCAATTGAGCATCTTTATTAGAATAGTAGGTAAGAAAAAAATAAGACTACAAGTAAAAAAGCAATGAGCAAAGTTGTTGCTGCTTAAAAAGACTTTTAGGATAAGAGCACAATTCAGAAAGAAAGAGTAATTCAGAAAGAAAACAAATGGTTGCAGCAATCTTTGGTGGTAAGAGTCTATTGGGATAATGGCGCCATCTCGTGGTAAACACGCGTATAACGGTTCACAAAACAAGGCCACTTCCATGTGTCACTGAGCTGCCATCTACAAAATCAAAGGAAGGTGCAGTGCTGTAGGAACACAAACATGTTCATGAGCTACTCTTTTAGTTGTATGACAAGGTGCAAAGAGCAAAACTGGAGCAGGGAATAGTTGTGAAGTAGAAGTAAATGCACACACATATTGCAGATATTTTATATTTAAAGATCTGACCCTGACTAGTTGTTTTTTTTAACTGTAACTATAACTACAAATATGTCTCTATTGGCCTCGTATGTATGGAAACTAAAGCCTTTGCCCATTTCATGTAGAAAAATAGTTTAATTTCACACAAATAGGATTTGATGCTATAGCGTATAAAGTGCTTAGGGGGTACGGCTTCAATCCACTTGAACCTTCTATAAAGACTTATGACACAACTCGGTCACTCCGGTCAGTAATGTATTGTCATCTAGCAGTGCTACGCCACGCTTAGGACATTCCAGACTATTTTCATGTGTTGTTCCAAGATGGTGGAATGACCTACCAAGCAATAGAAGAACAGCAGCGTGTCTGTCTATCTTCAGGAATCTTTTAAAGACCCACCTCTTTAAAGAGCATTTCCTATCCTAACTCTTACCCATACCTCTATACCCCCTCTACTCCTCTTTCTGCACTTCCCACTCTTTCTTTGCTTTAACCACAGATTCTGATTAGGGATTTTCCTCTAGAGAACTTATTGTCATATTGACAACTCTAAAATTGTGTCTATTGTGTAAGTCGCTGTGGTTAAAAGCGTCTGCTAAATGCATAAACATCTAAACAAATGCATAAACATTTTGAGCACCTTTGACCATCAATTTTATGTACAGCAATTTTTGGATGTAGGTCTGAATTTAACAATGTAGCTTAGGGCTCTACCTTTCTTGCTTGATGGGGATGTTTTGAATATTAGACATAGGCAGATTTGTCATTTTGTTTACACAAGTGTAAACAAAAAGAAATTAAGGATATGGTGATACTCTCAAATTAGCCCTGTATAGAACATAAAGGTAACCTTCTGGTACTAATGGAAAAAGGGACAATGTATTTTCATTCCCTTTGCTTATGTGTCGGTGCTGAGGAAAATAATTCCCAAAGCAAGAAGTTGTCAAAAAGGTTCACGGTGGGGATCGTGTGTTTAGGCTGTTTTCTTTTCTGGACACTCTGAATTTTTAGCAGTACAGTCGGCCATCTTTTGATTTCTTTCAAAAGTTGCCATTCTTCCATTAAGGGCAATTTATTGGAGTACAGGACTAACATATAGCCTAAGCTGTAGATTTCTGCAGCTCCTTTAGGGTTAAGATGGGCCTTCTTGCTTCATTGCTTCCTTTACCACCAGCCTGTTTGAGGCCTTTCAGTAAATACAATTTTAAAACCATATGTTATCTAATTTCTGCTAATTAAAGCTCTGCATTGTGATTGTCCAAATAACATTTTCAGAAAACAGATTAAGGAGGATTACGTGAAAAAGTTTATAGGGGACGAGATCTTTTGCAATAACTTTATTATCTCTATCCACCTTCTGCTCTGAGTGATGTTTAGTACCTCTAAAGAATTTCTGTTATTACTTTCTCATACAATACCATAAAATGAAAATGTGCAAAAAAGCTTTACAAAGACTTACTTTAATTTACATTTACTTAGAGTAACAGCAGCATTTTGACATGTCATTTTTGACGAAAGTAAATAACCGAGTTTAAGTAATTGAGGACAAATATATTTACCTTAGCACCATATAAAAAACATAAATATGTAATGTGTGAAACATAAATGTAGCATATTCTGCCACATTTAAGATGTATTCAGTTTTTTGGGGGGTCAATATACAGCATGTTTCGATGCTTGTGCGTACTGCTCTCATCAAAAACTCACCTATGTAACCATGTGACCAAAAGCACCACAGCAGTCTGAGCTCACCTTAAATACAAGAGCTTTCTAAGATCAAGTTGATTTTTGGCAACAAAACACATCAAACTTACCTGATTATACATGTTTTTGGTTGTTTTTATGTACGATTTGATCTAAAGAGAGGAACACTGCCTTGTTTTTACAAGTAACGCTATGACTTCTTTTTAATCACAATTCAAAACATGGAGGGAGACTGTTTTAATTTACAGCAGTGGTGCCAGTTGCTTTCAGGAAGTTGCCGGTCTAAAGCCCCTTGTAGCTAAAAGTTACAGTGCTACTTTAAAAGCTATTCTTTGGCAGCCATTTTTTTTTTTCTGTGCTTGAGCCAAATGGAGTAGGGTGATTGATTGGGGCTTCAATGTGAATCAGTATTTTAACTCAACCTCCATGCTTTCATTGTGTTGCATTGACCTAAACTATCTAATAATAACTGACGTTTGAGTGCCATGATAGATTTATGTTTCGTTAAATGTAAAGTTCTTATAAAAAAGCACAGACTGAATATATGGAGAAAATTAGGCTTGCAAAATCACTACATTTTTGCTAATGTAATGAGGACAATTTTGTTGAAATAGTTGTGAGAAACTCATACTCACGCATTTTATCAGATTAGAGATGCTAGTCAGGACTGGAGCAGAAAATACTGGTAATAAGTGGATATTTTCCACTTTGCTGAATTACAAGAGTCCTTTTAAAATCCTTGTATGTTTTTGAATTCTCTAAAAAATTTAATTGGCATTAAATTCTTCCAGACTTCTTTTTTTCCCAACTAGAGAGAACACATTATAAAACGTTTTTGTTTTAAATTAGTTTCATGCCAGGAACTATGCTTTGTCTCCTCTTGTGTTTGGGGTTAAATGCATTGATGCACTTTGGATTTATATCCAAACCTAAAATCCTCACACTTTAACACTTTCCAGCTGCATTTTATGCCACCTTGTGTTTTTTTTTTCCTTCCATTACTTTTTAGTAAACAGTATTTCTTAATTTCAGACACTGAAATTTGCATAACCATAATGAACTACAAGCCTGATGACAAAAAAAGAAATGTAACCTTTCATTATAAACACACTTTGCAATGGCTGCGTGTACATGCTGGTGGTATGATTCAGAAACCCAAACTCATAATTTAATGATGGTGGAAGAAAATGATGTGGGGTGACTTTCTTCAATAAATAGCTTGAAAAATCTCAAAGTTGTATAAATGCCTTCAACCTCAGTGCTGATTGTGTTTCCTTTTTCACTCCGTCCACCTCATCAAAATTATTTTCCTGCCTGGAAAGGAAGGAATAATACAACAGCAAAGAAACGTTCCCCAGAAATGAACCTCCATAGATTAAACCACTAACTGCCCAGAACAATTTAATTTCCATAAACTCTGGCTTTGAAAGAAAAAATATTAAAGGAGTTGAAAAATTTATAATAGTGCAAATTAAGTAATATAAAAACATTTCTCGTTTAGTGTTTTTTCCTTTCGCATTAAAAAAACTAAAAACCAGGATGGCTCCAATGACCCCTCGGTAGAGCGGTTCAAGGACACGGGGTTTGCAGAACTTGGTACGAAGCAAGTACGCCCATATTGTTCCCAGCACCCAAATTAAGATGAGGCCAACTGTGCAGTAGACATTAAGGAGGAGGAGGAGGCTGTAGCTGAGAGTGAGGCTGGTGATGGTGAAGAGTTTGTAGAGGAGATAGACCAACGTGGCGCCTAAGGAAAACTTTTTTTCTCTGAGAAGGGATTTGTGCAGGAGCCACCGATAGTCCACCAAGGACCAAGCCAGATTAAAAAAAGAGAAGGCCAGAGACAGATCTGCAAAACAAGCAGATTTATAAATTATGATTCTTAAAAAAATATTAAGTTAGAAACGGATTGCTTTGTCTACTCACATTGTAGGATGGACCACTCATGGTGGCTGTGGTGAATGTAAAGCTGTAAAAGAAGCTGGGGAGCGCTCTCCAAGAAAGTCTCAAAAAGCTTCAACATAGACAGATCAGTAGCCTTCCAGATTAGTTCCTGTATATTTAATTCTTCAGATGAATTTTGTCTCTGGATTTCCTTGTTCCCGTCTTTCAGCAGATGGTAATACCTGGTAACAGAGTCCAAGAAATAAAAATAAAAAACTGCTAAAAACACATGTCAAGAGGGTGTTATAGTGTAGCACAAATTAAATGTGGTAATTCAAATTTGCAAATTACAAATCCTTTATAAATGACATTGGCGCATGGACATACCTGACTAGGATCCCCATCCCGAATGCATGAAGGGCCAAATACTGTCCTTTCTCATCATCTTCTTTATCTTCTTCCATCTTTTCTAGGAACCATGCATAGCTGAAGACTTGGTTTACTGTCAGTCCAGTGATTATAAACAACGCAGTCATTCCACTCCAAACGTACTGTGTTTCTTGAAAATATCTGACAGCCAGGGCAGTGTCTGTGCATATGTCTCCCAAGTATAAGAGTAGTCCGCAAAGGGTTAATAACCAGCGCTGCCTTGAGTACCGCATGTCTGACGTCCGTGTTGCTGTCATCCTTTAGAAGCGCTGGCATTCATGTTTCTGTCCTGTTCCAAGGAGGAAATGCTCTGACTTCCTGTTCTGATAAGCTTTGTAGTTTCTGTACGTGACATTCAATATCAAAGGTGGCCTTTGACCCTCTCTGGAAAAGAGACAGAAATAAAACATGTCAGCTTGAGTTCAATAATTTACAATTATTTTAAAAACACATATTTGATTTCTTTCTAAAAAAAATAAATCCTTAAGGAATCTTGGATCTTTATTGTTAGTAAATGAAAAATCTCTCTAATTACTATCCCTGATTTTCATAAATAACACAATTTGGAATATGAGCCAGTATTTTATAGAAAAATTGCCGCATAATCAAAACTATGATAGATCATCGAAACTTTGAATGAGAAGTCTAATGGAATTAATGGAAGAAGCCTTTTGGTGAAAATTGGAAGCCTCTACATTTGATCAGCCTTCTAATACAAAAGATTGAATAGATTTCTGTAAATCTGTATCTTGATTGGTTAAAGAGCACTTGACTCCTCCCCCAGAAATATTGGTTCTGCAGAACTGATGAAAAACTTTGGAATTCGTCCAAGAAATCCACGGAGACATTATTGCATTTAAAAATGTTTCAATGAGTAGGTAGGATAAAGGGGTGCCAAATATACATACAAAAAATAAGGGCAACAGAGATAAAAAAAATAAAAAATAAAAAAATTTGGCTCCACTCTGTGAGATACACAACAATGGAACTCCCATGATGCATCATCCTTAAAAAGTGACAAGTATGCATCCTTTAACCAAAGAGGTAATGAAAATAATAACAAAATAACCACAATAGCTAAATATATAAATTCCCAAAATTAGTAGGAATTACCAATAATATTTAATAATTACAAGAAAAATTAATTTAGCAAGAAAAAAAAACAACACAAAACATACAAAGAAAATCACTAAGTATAAATTCAGGCTCCTACAGAATCCTTCCAGAGGATTTTATTCTACAGAGTTAGAAGGGCAAAAAATCCCTTTTAGAAGAATTTCCTCAGTACTTTTTCTTTTGTTTGTTATGTTTTTATAATATAATGCATCCTATCAATTCCTGTAAGTTAATGTTTTGTTGTCATCCGCACCTTGAACATCCCGAACCGCTTTTCTCAGAGCAATTTTCCTTAAATCTAATGGTGGAAGCATTTCAAAGGGATGAGGGAAGATCAGTGCCACCTGCCTGTCTCTGTTTCTCTTCGCAGCAGACAGGGTCACTGTAGAAGCAGAAAAGCAGAATATTACTCCAGCCAATGCAGACAGGAATACCAACTAACTTCACATCAGCTGCCTTACTTCTCATCCTTATTACATTTGATCTTCTTTTTTCCCCTTCTTGAATTAGATGCTATAATGTGTCTGTGCTGTTTAACCTTTTATAAGACTGACAATCTCTTCATAAATATAAATAAATATTTTAAAACCAATTCCCTCGTCAACTTGTTCTTTTTCATCAGGAGAATTAGCTTATTTATTATTTTTTTGCTGCCATTTCAAATAGTTTTTTTCATTTTTTTCCTAAACTAATCATAAGTTTATTATCAAAAGTTATTCTTGATGAAATGAGTAATATGCTCCTGTTTAAAATTTAAAAAGTGGGATTCTCTTTTGCTGATTCTTAACAGGTATAGTATGCTCTGATAAGTTTACAGTAAACTTCAAGGTCTTCATTTTCTGCACTAGAGATTGCTCTGCTGAAAGGTTAAACAATATTTGTTTAGAAGCATTTCATTAGATCAGCAGACGGGTTGGTTTATTAACATAATCAAGAATAACATTGTTGTTTTTTTTTCCTTCTACGAGCATATCTTCTTCTGATATAATCTATTGTAAGTTTACCTTATTACATAAACTTAAATATCTTAACATGATCTTAATTAACCTGGTCAAGCACACATAGAAAAGCCCCACAACATGCTAAATTATTACATTTACAATGAATACATATAAACATTATCAAACTTACAGAGACGGTTTGTCCATGGCGGAAAGCTCTGTACAGTCACAGCTGGAGACTCCACTCCCTCCGGTTTTCGTTTTGTTTCTTCTGCAACCTGTGATTAGCCCCACCTCAGCAACCAGTAAACAAACTTATACCCAGAGCAGAAATGTGTTGTTGCATAACAGATCTAATTCCTATGAAGGTGTGGTGATGCAAGCAGGAATGTGATCTTTACACTTTCCTGTCATGCTTCTACATCCATTCAAAACTCACAGACAAGATTAGCATGGATATTGCCAGGCGAGGTTTCCGGGGGAGTGAGAGGAACTCATGGACGGAGACTTGAAGAGAATGTCAGGATTATAGTTGACACATAAGGTTGGATAGTGAGATATTTTAAGAAGTTTCATTCTCCTTTTTTTGTTTTTTTTTTTGTTTTGTTTTTTATCAGAGTTTTTTTTTTTAAAGTAAACATGTTCTTAAAGGTAAAACTCCCAATTTTTCCAAAAAGAACCATATATAGACATTAAAATACCTCATATTTCTACATAGGTACACTGTGTTGTCATTATTTCCATTGTAATTACTTCATATGACTCAGTTTACAGTGTTTCTTTAGAGCTATTCAAACCACTTTACACTTTGCCATGTTATAACTGCAGCTTTCGGTCTATTTTTTTAAAGGTCAACCAACTATAGCATATAATTGTGATGGTTTTTGTTGTTGTTGTTTTTTATTTATTTTTTTTTTGTTTAACAAACTAATACGGGTGGTGTACCCAGGGCTGCTAACTTTTCATCAAACCTTGGAGTCAGATTTTGAAAGAATTTGTACATGCAACCCTTGTCTGGGTTCGATGAGGATAGGTGCAGCTATAGCTTGTACAGTAGGTTTTCTGACTGCAGCACTAAGGTTGAAGTTAGCACTAAGGTTATGTTTAAAACGCGGACTGGATTTTTATCACCATGGTATTTTTATATATAAATAAGTGGAAAAATTGGGGGTATGGAGTGTGATCATGTGAAGACACTGAGATGAGTCTCATTTGAGTCTCCCACTCAATGGGTGAGAGTTGACAGCCCTGTGTGCCATACATTTAAGTTCCTTTAAATATTACAATTCTAAATAAAAGTAATTTTCAACCAACTCCCTTTAAGGACCACACAATTAGTAAACACATTACATCTTAAAGACCAAGAGAACAAGAGAAGGTCAAGGGTGGGAGAGTCTGCAGACAGGGTAACTATTTGTAAATATTTAGACTATTGCTATCTAGAGAAAGCCATATAAAACTCTTCCCAACATTAAAGGACATGTATCATACCAATATATTTATATATAGACACGACATGGGTTTCTACTGTATAAGTATAGAGATGAATAACATTATAAACCGAATTTTACTAATAGATTTGTCCTATGAATATAATATATAGATAACTAGTGTTATGAACTAAATTTACAGCTGGATATATACCGCATATAATATACAGGTGGATATTACTATAAAAAGGGTTTTTGCAGTTATGTACAATAGCATGATATACAGATGGCTTTTACTATAAAATGAATAAATAAAGTTTGGACAGAAGCTATCTAAATTAAAGTGCAGTGGAAGGTAATTGCATATTACAGTTAAAGTACGGTATTACAAATGTATATGTAACAATTGGTATGATCGACTAGTCAAATTACAGAACATGTGGCAAGGTTTTTTCATCCATGCCGTCAGTCCAATCTGACATCGGGTTCAGCTTGAGAAGAGAAGGAAAAAAAATATTGACTCCCAACTTTAATCTTAAAGCAGGGTTAACTGTGGGAGGAGCCAAGAACATATGTAAGCACTGAGTTCAAACTCCCTTATTTAGTGGGAGCAGTATACAGAACAAACAAGAGAGATGTTATTACTAATCAGTTTTTGGTGGAAAGCCGTTTTACTGAAGTCATGGTGTGTTCTGGAACAGAATTTGACTTCACAAATTCTTTCTTATCCATATCATCTATGTCTGAGCTTTTGTGCATTACATTTTTTATATACATTTTAATTTCAGCTACAGGTTGGTGCAGCTTGTTGCACTGTTGCCTTGCAGTAAGAAGGTCTTGTGTTAGAATCCTTGCCTAGGATCTTTGTGCATGGAGCTTGCATGGGTCCTTGGGTCCAAACACTTGAGGTTGATTGGTGAATCTAAACTCCTCTTATTGTGTGTGAATGGTTGTATGTCTCTGTGTTGCCTGGCAATCTGATACAGGGTGTACCCATTTTGCCTGAAGAATGCTGGAGATAGAAGATGGATGGATGTATAATAAGTTTATACTTCATGCTTGTCATGATGTGTAAGGGAGCCAAACACAGAAAGTAGGCAGACATAGATATATGTAATTGGTAAGTTCAATAAACCAAGGATCAGGCAAAAAAAAAAAAAACAACAAACAACACATAGTGGGAGTCAGTCATGATGAAGACAACAGACACAATGATTAAAAACTAGGAACAGTCTTTCATTTTAACTTACACCAAAGCCTTACAGAACAGCTGCTGGTGTGGAAGCTCTATCACTACTGTTCTCTTTGTTTATGTCTTTAGCTAAAACACTCTAGTATTTGACTTTATGCCATTTTAGACTTCATGTCAATGACTTTCCATAAAAGGATTTAAAACCTTCAGCTGATCGAAAACGCTACAGCCCGATTTTTGATAAAAATTAAAAGAAAGCTTCCAATTGTTAGCTTCCTGTAAAATCCAGAATATTATTTAAAATCCTCCTTCTCAGATATAAAGCTCTAAAAAGCCAAGCTCCATGTTATATCAGAGATATGATTGTTACTTACGTTCCTAACAGACAACCTCTCTCAATCTGCAGGTTGAGATTTGCAATCTGCAGACTGAGATGCTCCTAGAATTTCAAAAANAAAACAACACATAGTGGTAGTCAGTCATGATGAAGACAACAGACACAATGATTAAAAACTAGGAACAGTCTTTCATTTTAACTCACACCAAAGCCTTACAAAACAGCTGCTGGTGTGGAAGCTCTATCACTACTGTTCTCTTTGTTTATGTCTTTAGCTAAAACACTCTAGTATTTGACTTTATGCCATTTTAGACTTCATGTCAATGACTTTCCATAAAAGGATTTAAAACCTTCAGCTGATCGAAAACGCTACAGCCCGATTTTTGATAAAAATTAAAAGAAAGCTTCCAATTGTTAGCTTCCTGTTAAATCCAGAATATTATTTAAAATCCTCCTTATCAGATATAAAGCTCTAAAAAGCCAAGCTCCATGTTATATCAGAGATATGATTGTTACTTACGTTCCTAACAGACAACCTCTCTCAATCTGCAGGTTGAGATTTGCAATCTGCAGACTGAGATGCTCCTAGAATTTCAAAAATTAGAATGGGGCCAGATCTTTTAGTTATCAGGCTCCTCTCCTGTTGAACCAACTACCAGTTCTAGTCAATGAGGCAGACACCCTGTCTACTTTTAAGGAAAGGCTTAAAACTTTCCTTTTTGATAAAGCTTTGATAGTTAGATTGGCTCAGGTTAACCTGAGCTATCTCTATAGTTATGCTGCTATAGGCTTAAGCTGCTGGAAGACAAAGGGACCACTTTACATCTTTCTGATTTCTCGTTTTATCGACATTCTATTTGTTAGTTCAACCACTAACTTTATGTTATCTCTACTTTTTCTTATCATAGACACCGTATCTGGTCTGTTCCCATCTGGCTGTGACAATATCCAACTCTATTATCTATAACCTTCAATTATGGTTTATCATCTACAACCAAAGAGATGATAGACCTAGGCCTGTTTTTTTTTTCTTTTGTATTTAGTTCTGTTTCTCTCCTAATCATAATAATAATAATTTAATCATGGCTACAAGTTAAGCTTTTACTAATGACTTTTACTATGACAAATTTTAAATAATTCTTGTTAAAACTGGCTCAGGGCTCACAGAGCCCCCTGTGGAGCTAGTTTACAGTTACCTTTTCAAGCATAAAAAGTATTTATGGATTTTTGCTTCTATATTAATTTTCTCTGTCTGCTTCTATCGCCTTGAACCCCCAGTTGGCCTCAGTAGATGGCCTCTCCCACTGAGACTGGATCTGCTGGAGATTTATTCCTCTCTCTACTGTTGCTACATGTATGCTCAGGGTAAGGGATTGCTGAAGAGTCAACAACAAAATGTAAGTAAATATCTTCTGTTACTCAAGACATTGGTAGAAATACTCAGGAAGAAATAAAATTGAGCTACATTCTGTCTTAACAGGCAGCTAATGCAGAGTTATTTAAGGATTACCTACTTACCTTGTTAAGTTGATTGATTAAGTTAAGTTGATCTATCTAGAGATATATATATATATATATAGATATATATATATCTATATATATATATATAGATATATATATATCTTGATATATATTATATCGAGAGCTGAGCCAAAAAGGAAAGCTCTCGATTTATCGGTGGATCTACGTTCCGACCCTCATCTACGGTCATGACCGAAAGAATGAGATCCCAGATACAAGCGGCTGAAATTAGTTTTCTCCGTAGTGTGTCTGGGCTCTCCTTTAGAGATAGGGGGAGGACTCAGAGTAGAGCCGCTGCTTCTCCACATGGAGAGGAGCCAGCTGAGGTGACTCGGGCATCTGACTAGAATGCCTCCTGGACGCCTCCCTGGTGAGGTGTTCCAGGCACGTCCCACTGGGAGGAGGCCCAGGAGGAGACCCAGGACACACTGGAGGGCATATGTTTCTCGGCTGACCTGGGAGCGCCTTGGGATTCCCCCGGAGGAGCTGGCCCAAGTGGCTGGCGAGAGGGCCGTCTGGGCTACCCTACTGAAGCTGTTACCCCCGCAACCCGACCCCAGATAAGCAGATGAAGATGGATGGATGATATCTGTTCTTTTATAAATAATTAATAATAATTAAGGTGAGTGGCGGCCTAGTGGTAAGGGCATAGGGCTTGGAATCCTGAGGTTGTGAGTTCGGTCCCCCACTCCCAAAGACTGTCACTCTGGCTCCCTGAGCAAGACCCTTAACCCCACACTGCTCCCCGGGCGTCACACAATGGCAGCCCACTGCTCCCCAAGGGGATGGCTTAAAATACAGAGAAGTAATTTCCCTCTGGGATTATTAGAGTATATAAAATAATAAAAAATATATATAGTATACTACTACTCAAAACCAATTCTGAGTGTATTCAATATATATATTTAAATATAAATGGTTTACCGGGCCTAGAAGACCTTGGTGTGTAATAGCAGAATGTCACCACAAAGTGGTGCCATTCTGTAAAGTTTGACTCTGCTTAAGATTTTTGGGATATTAACAATCCCCACCATAGATAAACTTTAGTTCTCCAAAAAAAATCCTGCTGAACTGTGATAATATTGCTTCACTTCCAGTTTTATTCCGTGTTCTTTGTGTTATATTAGCTTAGTTTAGTTTTTTACTAAAATCTGTCGGACTTGGAGCTAAATGATTTTTGTTAATAAACCCTTATATTGTAATAGAAGTTGTGGTGAATGTATTCCATGTATGTGCAGAATTATCAGTTTGACCATCATTTGAGCTCGATTCACTCTTATATGTTGTTCTGACACACAGCCAGTATAACTTTTGTTCACAGAGCAATATATGACAGTCTG